AGAATATTTAAAAGAAAAAGGACTGTATTTTCAAAATTAGACTAATTGCCAAGAACCAGTTTAGGTGTTCTGAGTAGAAATTACTGTTAAACGTTAAACATTCTTGTTAAGTATTTGCGTTTGGAATCGTTACATCCTCGGCAGATGCGGCTTCTGAATTGTGCTGGAGAAATATTTTTTACTTTCTACTTATGAGTTCGTTTTCGTACTGATGCAACTTAAAATCTGTAAGGACTCATTTTGATTGAAATTGTGTGAAATCTTTTTTTTTTTGGAACATCTACTCTTAAAGAATATAATTGTCAATAACTTTTTTTCCTTTTATTTGTGTTTTGCTGGATTTACAAGAATGACTGCTCCTTTATGCTCATTGTGAATTAAAATAGCACAGGTTGCGGTTTCCACTAATCGAACAGCAACTGCACATATACCAAACTATCCGAATCTCTCCTCTCAATTGCTATGTCAAGTTCACAATGTTACACTTCATGTACGTTTTTTCAGATAATATTGTACCTATACCTATTATTTTGGCAGATCACATTTATACTATCCTAAATAAGCTGTTTAGCACGTTTATATGATTTTAAATTGTCTCCTGATAAATAAATAGGCAGACAAAGAAACAGATGAGATCTATGCTCAAATGAGCCTCCAGCCTGTTAATTCTGTAAGTCCAACCACATAGGAGATCACTTTCCATAATGAAGCTTTTGGAGAAATGGCTATGAGACGTTTAATTTATTTCGTTTTTATTTATTTATTTATTTATTTATTTTTCAGGAAAAAGACATGATTTCTGTACCTGGCTTTGGACTGAAACCCAGTAAACACCCAACCGAGTTTTTCTGCAAAACTATGACAGCTAGCGACACGAGTACGCATGGCGGCTTCTCAGTTCCTAGAAGAGCTGCAGAAAAGCTCTTCCCACAATTAGTATGGTCATTTTAGCTATGATTTATAATGTTAAATTAGTTTTTGTGTAATAATCTACCGTTAATACTTCAATTTAGTTAAATGATTGTGATTTCTACCTAAGGATTACTCTATGCAACCTCCTACTCAAGAACTCGTTGTTCGGGATTTGCATGGTAACACCTGGACTTTTCGTCATATATACAGAGGTAAACATGCATTGATGTTTTCCGTCCATTTTGCTCTCAAATGTTACCGTTTTTTTCCAATCCCTTACATTTGTCTTCTCCATTTTACATGTACCTAAAATTTGTCATCTTCAATTCTCACCTTGCTGTCAATTTTTCATTGTTATTTAGGGCAGCCTAAGCGTCATTTGCTCACAACCGGTTGGAGTATGTTTGTTGGTTCAAAGCGGCTTAGAGCTGGCGATTCAGTACTTTTTATTAGGTAAGCGTTGAAGCATCTTGTATCCT